CTATTCAAATTCTGAGAAGTCTCCTAGACAGCAGCTAGGGGGGGAAGAGCTGACCTTACTAAAAATCTTCTGTCCTTGGCCCAGCTGAATCTCCCAAGCAGCTTTGCTCCCTGTACGCACTCCATACTTTAGGGAGATAAGGAAGAAGCTACTTTTAAGCCTATTCCAAAAATAAGGGAAAAGTGTACAATTACCTTTAAGAACATTTAAAGGCCCACATATTTTAGGGGTGACTTAAGAAGGTTCTTAATAAGAGGCAATCTGTCTTTTGATCATATTCCCTCTAATCCTTCCTCCCTGTCTTTATTACACATAGGAAGTTGTGCATGTAAACACTCATCCAGATGCCTGGGTTGTTTTTATTTATCTGAAATGATGGAGCTGTTCTAAGTGCACAGTAGGTGGGCACAGAGAGTGATTGACGCTGTGCAACAGAAGGGTGGATGGGTCTGCAGCCGACTCATGGGACTAGGGAGGCACGTTGCACCAAACACTGATAATGGTAAGGCTGCATCTGCTTTGCAGACTCATCACCTATAAAATCCAGCCCTGCTCCACAAAAGGAGGGTTCCTTTTGGTTCCTGACCTAAAGATTTTAGTCTGAAAGCTGCAGAGTAGATGAGCTATGAAGGAAGACCATGAGAACAATAACCCCATCCTGTGGGTGCACAGAGATTTACATACATGAACAGGGTATTTCAGTGACAGAGGGAATCCTGTACACATTGACTGCTTGACTGTTACTGGTTGCATGATTCAGACAAGAAGTGATGGCACAAAATAACCTGGGGAAAGTGCCATTCAACCAAGGGAGCAGACTTCAAAGCTGTGGATGACGCAGGACTTACAGATAAACAGCACAAATCCAGAATCATGGCAGAAAATATTTTTAAAAGGGCATTTTTTTTCTCTGACAAGTGTTATACATATATTGTGGAGATGCCTATGAAGGCCCTTGTCAAATCTAAGGGGTAGGCAAATACAACCAAGAAAAAGAATCATGTCTCAAGAAATGAGAGCCATGTGATCAATAAATCAAAAGGCAAGGTTAGATGACTTACAAAATATTTCAATGTTATTTAAAGCTCTTGCTGCAAACCATCAGATTTCTATTTCTATTCTTTTTCAAATTCTATTCTATTTCAAATTTCTATTCTTTTCATGAGGAATTTCTAGTAATTCATTCTGTTAATACTGACAGAGATCTGTCCATTGAATGGTCTCCAATATTTCAACAAGTTTATAGTGATACTCTTCACATTTACTTCTTCTCTTGGAAAAGTGGACATAAATAGAGTTAAGAAAGATATTTTCCTTTGCATTATCAAGCTCCAGGTAGCTACTCTGAAACTTTGTAAGGCTGGTTACTAAAATCTGTTCAGGCAGCTTAATGCAAAGAATCACCCTGCAGTAAGATTTAGCAATAGAGGAACACACCATGATGCACTATGGCATTCACAGACGCCATAGTCATGGTATGTGGGCAAATGGATGACCAAAGTTCAGCATTTCTAAAACAACCGTGCCATTCATATTGAAAGCATTTAGACATCAAGAGTCCACCAAAAAACTGTGTGGATGAATTAAGTTCTAGGGGTAAAAAGACTCATCAATTTGAAAAAAACTGAGGATAATGAAGCTTATGAACTGATCACAGATAATGAACCACTTCCCACAGATACAATACAATGGTACAATGAAACTGATAAGTGTATGATAAAAAGCTCTTGTCAGGCCTTATCCTGAATACTGGGCACCATTTCTAGGCATCTGTACTCAAAGATGGACTGAAACAGAAATACACCCAAGCCACCCGAAAAGGATAATCAAAGCAATGAATAACCTCTCTTCAGAGGAGATGGAAAGATTTTGGTGGTTTTAGTTCAGAGAAACAAAAACTAGGAGAAAAGATAACTGCTCTCAACAACAGGGAAAATACCAAAGGCAGGGAACAAGGACTTCTGAAGATAATCACACTGGCAGAAGAAAGAAGAGGTATAGCGAAGAGGTGTAGCCTCTTTGGCTATAGGAAATGAATAAATTTGGGCTGGATACAGAAGATAACTTCCAAGCATTAGAGAAATGACATTCTGGACCAATACTGAAATTAAAGATAGAGCATGGTGCTAAACAAACTTTCTTTTAGAACAGTAATTAAAAAGTTGAAGAACATAATTATCCAAACCAGTTGCTGTGACAGCAGCATTCCCTTCAGCTGTATCCTGAGGGTTCAGCAGGTGCAATTGATTCTGTCTTTGATTAGAAAATGAACATAGGTGCAGCTCAAAGCAGAGAGTAGGTTCCTGATTCAAAGACTTTGCAGACACCATTAGAAAAACATCTATTCCAGTCATAGATAAAAGGAATAGTGAAGCAACTTGCCAGTCAGCCATTGCTACAGAAAAATCACACACAAGATAACAATTTTGCAAGCTAGATAAGAACTAGAAGTAATTTTAAAAGAACAAATGTTAAAAGAAGCTAATTTTCAATCTGAATTTCAGTTTGGGATTTGTTTTTATACATGTACTTTAAGAAGATTGGTCAGAATACAACCAGATAAATACCATTCACTGTAGAAAGACTCGTTAATGTAATTTTGAAAAATTGACCCCTCAACAGAAAAAAAGCTAAACTCAAACAGTTTCTCCAATAATGTACTGATATTGATGTTCATCTTACAACACATATGCCAGGGTTTTCATATTCTTATCAGGTAGCAAACTTCTCCATTTGACATCTGTTGATACTGCTTCAATCTGTGACTATTATGCATTTACTGGCAAACTTTATGATGGCAACAGCTTTTAAAACTGCACTTGAAATTAAAAGCTGATTCTTCTGTTCTTAAGGCAACAGTGCCATCTCGTGGGAAATATTCAGCTCTGTGTCCTATGCTGGGCAAAGGAGCCCGGAGCCTTTCTTAGACAAACAAATCGTCAAAAAAATGAGGGGTTTTTTTTGGGTTTTTTTTTTTTTTTGGTTTTTTTTTTTTTTTACCTAAGTTGATTCCATCAGGTTAACACATAAGCTTTCATCTAAAATGCCCACTAGCCCTTTCTAGTCATTCTGGTAATGTTTCATAAGGTTTTTGCTCTGCTTCGAGGTGTTCTACAAACCACAGCCCCTGTCTGGGTACATGCCAAGGGAGAGCACAAGTCCTGATTCCTGCCAGGAGGGTTCCATGTGCAGGAGGGACAGCACCCAGCCCAACTGTAAGTAATGCTACTCTGCGTTGTCCAGCAAGACCAGCCAACCAAGTCCATGCTGTGAGTCCTTGGTTTTGCTGCATGTTACACACACACACACACATGCACACAATAGGCAGTCACATCTTACCCTGCTTCTCCTGGCAACATTTTTGGATTGTTTTATCTGATTTTGTGCCTCTTTACCTTTTAATGGCTTTTCCCCTCAGTTTCTGCAGTCAAAACAAAAACATCTCACAGGCCAGAGAGAACCAGACATCTTTTTACACTTAAAATGCTGTCTGTCCTGCAGAGGGTAAACAATGAGGATGCATCTGGTTTCTCCACAAGCAGTGGTCTTCTTTATTTCCATTTTAATAATGGGGGTTATGTTTGCCCTTTTCCAGTCTATGTGAACTTCAGGGCTTGCCATGACTTCTCAAACATGATGGATAGTGGCTTTGTCACTTCTTTGGCCAGTTCCTGTGGATGTTACTCACCAGATGCCAGGGACTTGTGTACCTTAAGGCTCCTGAGATGTTCTCAAACTCATTTTCCTTCTACAGCAGACAGTTCTTTGTGGAATCTTGTCTTGCTAAGATCTTTTCCTCAGATGCTTTTACAGAGGGTTTTGACCTCAAAACGTGGCAGGCAGTATACTGAGGGGGGGGCACCTAGTCAAGTCACAGTGGGAACAGTGGGTTCTTAGGAGTAGTATGCTAACAGAACCTTCCTATATTTGGTCAAGTTTACAGTTTTTCTTCTCTGTTGGTTCAGGACTACTAGTCTGTAGTTTCTCCTGTTTATTTCCCATCCTACCTGCTTTTTTAGAATAGAGGATTTACGCTGGGCCCCTGGTGAAGCTGACTTTCTGCCTGCAATGGCTGGAATTCCTTGCTGCTATTCCTTCAGGTGTTCTCCACTGACCTGCACACCCTCTCCAGGCTCTGGTCATCTCGTTTTGGCTCAGAGAGCCAACCAGTACGAATGGGATGGTATGTCATCCCACATCTTATCACTGTTAAATCTCTTCAGGTCTCTCCAATTTTTACCCTTAAAGTGTAATAAATGCTCACAGTAAGAATTAACTGGACAGCATTTTTTCACTGTATTCACAACAATTACTGATCTATCAATACAGTATGAAAGCCCATTAAGTGTGACACTGAAGAGGCCTCAACCAAATATTTCAAGCCTACAAATACTCAGTGGCACACTTTCAAAATACTTGTAGTATCAAGCTACAAATTTTTATTATAATAATTTCTAAGTTAGAATATATTTAAACAAGGACTATTACTGCCTTCCTAAAGGACACATGAACATTCATCCATAAATGTCAATTAAGCCCTGGGGATTGCTGGAGTTTTTGACTGCTCTAGGCAACTTCTGCATTGTAGTTAGAAAATTCAGTTCATCACAAGGATGTATTAAAAGGTTGCTGTGTGAGACTGCCACATCCTGTGATTATTGCTATTTTCTAAAATTCTAAATAAGCACCAATTAATTACATTGATTTCAAGTAACAGCTAATCTCAACACTCTGCAATGTTCACCATTTAGGATATATTAAACATCCTATCAAGATAAACTGCATCATTTGGAATCTGAGTGAAGCAAACATTCTAGATGCAGTAATTCTATCTCCATCTGCAAGATTACATCATGGGTTCCTGAGAGCTTTGCAAATTTTGCCAAATGATCCTGTATTGCATGGACTTTTTTTTTTTTTTAATCAAAAGGGTTTAATTTCTAAAATTATAAATAAGCCTTCTATAATTGTAAAAAAACCCACACTGAACACAAACTCCATTCGGAGTGACAATTGCCATTTGCATTATTGAGAGATTTGAGTATTTCTGAAAAGAAATGGCACCAGCAAAGTTGTTGAATCCAGATGAACTACACTGCAGGAAGATGTTCAGTTAGCAGCGCCCTATGGAAGGAAAAGATACATCTCAGCACAACTATATTTTCTAAATCTCTAAATCGGTCTGGCTTCAAGATGGGCACACTTTCATACTGCCTGAAATACCTCACTTCACTGCCACCACTTAGCCAATTATTTGGAATTTGAAAGGCAGGAAGACAGCAGGTGTGCATCAGCAAACTGTCTCTTTTGTAGGGAAGGAAGCAAGTTTCACTGACTACAGCACTGGCCACAGTGAAGGCAACCAGCAGAGAGAAACCATGACAATGGTCCAAGTAGAGTGAAAAAACAAGCTTTCCTTCATGTAAGAAATATCAGCCTTTTTCCACACATAAAAAAAGGGCTACCCAATTTAAGACTTCGGCAAGTATTTTGGAATTGGAGACATTCAACACGTTATTTTGTTCTTTTGTTCAATCGTTCAAGGGCTTAGTATGAAAACCATGAATCACTAGGAACTAACATGCCCACTTACTTTTGACCCTCACTGTTGAAAGACTGCGGCTTCGAGGCACCTGCAAGACAAACAGAAAAGGAAAATCAGGTCTGCTAAAGAACTGTAACCAGGAAAGCCACCTGGGGACCCATCAACATTCAGAAAATCTGCACATATATCAGTGCAGCTATAATCTTACTAAGTCAAGTTCAACAATTTTCTAGTTTTTTTCACAGCCTTCACACACACACGAAAAAGGGAGCCCTACACAAAGCCTCTCACATTTTCAATATTCACATTTTAAGTTGAGGGCACCTATATCCATTTAATAAGATCGGCTAACAATTCGAAAAATATACACATTTTTAACAGAAATAATTAAAAATGTTTTGTAACCATATGATATGCAGAACTCTGCTAAAGTTTCACATATCTTATTTGTACCACCTTCCCTTCCTGCTCACCCTACACTTATTTTTCGCTCCCTTGATGCATTTAGTAAATTAGGAGTAAATTTAGGGTACTACTTCCAAAAGGCAGGAACTATGTGTTGTATATATACTCCAAAATGACTGAAACACTTGCAGATGATGTAATTATTTATTCAGAAGGGCACTAAAGCAAGGGCAGTAGGGGCAAAGCAATACAAGATACACAGTTGATACTTCTGGGAATTTAACTATAATCTACTTCTCATACAGTATCTCTACTGATCATTATACCAGGCAATAATTATCTGTCTGTTCAGCTTCACCTCATTCAAGACCATAAAGCAAAGGCACTTATCCCCAGTGTTAAAATGTACATGTGGCACATCAGAATTTTTAACAGGTTGTCTACGTTCCTAGTTAAAATACTTGATGCTGTTAACATTACAAGCATTCAGCTGAGGCTTACTTGACCACACAGCAGAGGACGGCCACAGCTGCAGCTTCTGCTTCTAAGTCTGCATTTGCGAGGACACTACAAGAGAAAAGTTTGATAAACCTCTTATGAGAGAGAAGGTTTAATAAAGACAGATTCTGCAAGCAGACTTGCCATGCTGGAGACAAGTTTTGAAGACAGAGAGGAAACAAAAGTAAGCTTTCTCCTTAGAACAGGCTCTGACAACCAGCATACATTTGCATAATTAATACATTAAGGAAAAGGAAACTATTTAACCTATATACAGGATGAGGCACTAAAACCTAATTGATATTTTATATACTACTCCACCCATAAAACATATCTTTTTAAATCTTATAAACAGTGTTGAAATCCACTGACTTCCCTTAACATATTTCTTTAACAAAATACGTACCGTAAATTTTTTAGTCACTACCTCTCCCTTCACAATTACAGTACCATCTTCTATCAGAGGAGGCCACACATGATAGGCCACAAAGGGAGCTGTGAAATCCGAGTCAAAGCTACGATAGTACCTGTTGAAACAAACAGTACAAGAAATGTCTGCATATAAATGCCAAAAGATAAGTATGTTCCAAATCACCAATGCTGATAAAAAGCAGCTACAGCTATAATATGTTTCTACATCACAAAAATACATATTCTTTATGTGATCCTGTAAAAGAAATGGACTGACTTGGAAGACAGACTTAGCAGAACATACTGTTTACTTATACTGACAGACATTCTAATAAAGCCATCTCACACTTCAGAAGGCCACTAGACCTTTATTTTTCCATAAGCCCCGCACAAGCCAGGGCCTCTGTGTCCACTGACAGATTAAACCTTCTGAGCAGCAATTTGGCAGACATAGTCATCCCCTCTTCCTGGAATATCTTGCTAGAACAAGCCCCCTATAAAGATAAATAACACATTTGGCTTTATGGAGTCAAACTCAGAACAAATACCAAATAATAGGAATTGTATTAAAAGCAATGCATCTATACTTTAGTAATGTATTACAATAGCAAAGTTATATAAAACAACGTCATAAACAGAGGCATGAAGCAAGGTATAGGATACAACGTTTGGCTGGCCCTTTGTAGAATGCTATCACACATCATAAACAGATATATTTTAATTTCTACAATTTTTATTTGCTCCATCTCTGTGTACCACATATACATGTTATACATGTAAACATACACATATGCCACATTTATCTAGCTAGATAGACAGATATGAGTATGTGTCTCCCACAGCAGCACACAAGAACACATTACATATGGTTTCTTAAGGCCATACACACCAAGTAGGTGGAGAAAGCATCTCAAGACTATACCACAGTATTGGTGCTTCTTAATTTAGCCAACAGCTTTGAGTGTCAAAAGCTAACTGTCCTGTATTTGGATAGGATCATTGAGTAGTCCTGTATGATTTTGCGAAGAGTCTACTTTTCATCTTCTCTATTTCTCTCCTTGACTTCTCAAGCTCTTCACAAGCTGAGTTCCATTCTATTCTAAATTATTACTAGAAACTGCCTTAGTGATGTATTGTGTTTCACATTTTAGAGCAATTTTTTATGACCTATGAATCCCATTAATTTTCTTGACAACATGGAAGCACCCTACAGTTCTCTGTCTGCCAAAAAAACAGCTTGACCCTATATAAGAAAGAAAAATTATTAACAAAATTCCCATTTTTAAGAGGCAGTTTCGGTCTTGCCCAGCTCTAAACCAGAAGAGATGGGAGCATATGGGAGCATACAACTCGTATGTTGTACAGCCTGGAGGTTGCAGCAACCATGTTGATGATCCTGGTAATGACACCAACTGCCAGATCTCAGTAAATATGACTTTTACAGAACAGGCCAGTAAGGAGGAACAAAGATGCAAACATTTTAAAAAAGACAGATAGAGACTAAACAGGGAAAGCTGATGATTATTTTCTTCTTAAATAATAAATCAAATATGCTCTTGAGACTGAAGTTTACCCAGAAAACTGCTCTGCTGTTCATTAAAAAAAAAAAATAACACTTGTGTACATGCTAGTATTTATACACTATCCTAAACCTTAAAGACATACCAAATTCACTACAGGCCAGGGGGTTTTGCACCAAATTAATGTTTAGCAATCTTGAACTGCTATATTAATTAGGAAACAAGTAGACTACAAAACCTTTAATGGTAAGAGTCTGACTGAATATAAAAATTTCTTACATGTTCCTATTGAAGCATTCTCCATCAACACCAAAGGCAACATCAAGAGGAGGAATGAGTGTCTGCATTGAAAAAGCCAAACAGCACAACTCTCGAATCAAAGGGCTGATCACAGCGAAATCAACTTGTCCTGGACATAGAAACTTTGGGTTCTTGTTCATGGTGCAAACTACTTCCTGCAAATAAACATACATGAGTAATTTGTACTCATTAACAGTTTTATTCACAAGCAAGTATAGAAATCCCCCCCTAAATATGCCTCTCAGCTTTCCACATTTAAAAATCAGTATAAAAAGCTCATAGTAATGTTGCCTTGGACTATTCCAGAAAACAGCTTCAGAAAAAATGTGTTGCTATAAATAAATCAAACAAGCTATTACTAAGTCATACGTCCCAGCACTATTGTTCTAGAAAGTAAACTGGTACAAGACAAAGTCCATTCAGTAACTCTTTTCTCCTTCAGGTTACAGTGCACTTCTAATTTACATATTCTGAATTTACTAGCTCCTGAAAGAGATCCCCACGTCACTTCCCCACTGCCCTTGACTTACATGGACACTGCAACAAACATCATACAGATCCTTGTGGCAAGCTATATAATCCAGGACAGCAACTTCAAGTGATGAAGGTCCCCCTCTGTGACATACAGCCAAAGTGTCTTTTACATTTATTCTGACCTTCCAGAAGGCCATCTTTGCCGAACGGAAAGATTCCTGCAAACATAAAGAACATGTAAGGTATCTAGGTGGTTTCAAGGGACCCAATTAAATTAAAAAAGCACATAGCTACAAGCATAAGGAAAGCGTGATATGGAAAGATTTTTAGCTTTGTAATGTTGTAGTATTTAATACAGTATTTCCAAAAGAATTTTTCTAAGGCAATGTTGATCACTGCAGATATCATCAACTTTTCAGACCAAATCAGTCTTCTTTTAGTACCTATACAACAAATCATTGACTCTGTTCCAATCTGGGGACAGGTCAGGTAGGACACTACATTGACAGTTCAATGTGGAAGTGTGAGGGGAAGAAAGAAAAATCAAAATAAAAAAAGGAAGAAAGCTTTTCTGCACTTGACAGAAATGCTAATTTACCCACAATTTAATCCAACGCAGACATAGTGTTTCACAACATACATCCAGCCTGTAAATTAAGAAATAATATTTCTTTCTTACCACAGCTGCAATGTATAATATCCTATGTATGGTCTCCAAGTCACAGAAGTATTGCTTCAAGGTGGCCTCTGCCGCCAAGCGTTCTTTAGCATAAATGAAGTTATAGCGAGCTATGAGGCAGGCGCGGTGTGAAGCGCTGCCCCGCCGGAGCCGGGGAGGTGAGCAGGGCCTCACACAAAGGGCACGGCACTTGGGAGGACGGACACAGGGCCTCAGACGGCACGGCGGAGGAGAGCAGGGCCTCAGACGGCATGGAGACACACAGGGCCTCAGACGGCATGGAGACACACAGGGCCTCAGACGGCACGGAGACACACAGGGCCTCAGACGGCACGGTGGAGAGCAGCTCCTCACACGGCACAGTGGAGGAGAGCAGGCCCTCAGACGGCATGGTAGAGGAGAGCAGGCCCTCACACGGCATGGTGGAGGAGAGCAGGCCCTCAGACGGCATGGTAGAGGAGAGCAGGCCCTCACACGGCACGGTGGAGGAGAGCAGGCCCTGACACGGCACGGTGGAGGAGAGCAGGCCCTCAGACGGCACGGTAGAGGAGAGCAGGCCCTCACACGGCATGGTGGAGGAGAGCAGGCCCTAACAGGGCATGGTGGAGGAGAGCAGGCCCTAACAGGGCATGGTGGAGAGCAGGCCCTGACAGGGCATGGAGAGCAGGCCCTGACAGGGCATGGAGAGCAGGCTCTGACAGGGCATGGAGAGCAGGCCCTGACACGGCATGGTGGAGAGCAGGCCCTGACAGGGCATGGTGGAGAGCAGGCCCTGACAGGGCATGGAGAGCAGGCCCTGACACGGCATGGTGGAGAGCAGGCCCTGACACGGCATGGTGGAGAGCAGGCCCTCAGATGGCATGGAGGAGAGATACAGGGCCTCAGACGGCACGGGCGAGGAGAGCAGGTCCGTGCAAGCCTACAACACATGTGCAAAGAAGTTTCATGTCACTTTACCATCCTCTTACCATGCTTTTCCCTAAGACAGATTTCTTTCAATTTAATTTTTGCAAGGATAAGGTGAGATTTTGAGCCAAAGTGATTAAAGAAGCTACAGCTGGTTGGTCTAATATGAAGGCATTTTCATAATATGTTTTATGGGCTAAAGCATAAATGGTAAAAGTAAAGTAATTTGTAAAGCATATAAAGCCAAGCACTTTGTTCCTAGGAAAGACACTTTTAACTAGTAATATTTTGGAGATTTGTTCCTCTTTCAGTAGCACTGAAGAGTATGGCTGAAGTCAAACAAGTGAAAATTGAACACTACAGCTACAGGGCAGAATCCCTTAAAAGAGGACCCATCCACAAAATCTCTCTATTTCATACAGTTGCTCTCCATGTATTTTGTAAAGGTGCATTATTTCCTGTTTTGTCTGAAACCTAACATAGTTGCTTTAAAATAAAATACTTGGGCACTAGAACAAATCATCTAAAGAGTTTACGTTCCTTCATAACAAAGTAAAAAAGCTTGGCTTTTGTTTATATTTCAATTTAAATGATGAAGAAATTCATGCTACCTAACATGACCAAATTCTATGATTCAGTGACTTCTCTGAGTAAGGCCTCTACCTGCTCTGGATAACAGACTTTTTGCAATCCAGCATAGCAATCTCATCCCGCAATTTTTCAATCTTCTGCTCATAGCTATCCAGTTGCTGTAACCTCCTTAAGCTGCACTGTTCGGCACGGGAAGCCTTGAGACTTAATCACACAGAACAGTCAGTCACAAGATGTCCTTCTACCAATGTAAACTATCTATCAATTAATCCTCAGCATCAAACAACAGGAGCAGAAAAAAGAGGAAAATTATTGAGCAAGCTCCTTATGTTTGCTGAATAATTTCAGCATGCTTTCCTTATGCTGAAATACAGGAAAAATCCAGAGTTTAAAAATAAATTAAACAAAGGAGACCCTTGATCTTACTTTAAATTGTATAAGTGTATTGTGGTAGGAAAGTGGATATAGTACTGTGTGCTATAGAAAAAATCACTGGTTAACATTTGGTGTCCTTATGGTAGCTCAGATGATCAGGTCAGTAAAAGAAACCAGTTTTTTTCTCATATTTAAGATATTAACTAAACCATCTCAGTTTCATTTCCTACAGATTAAGAACCTATGTATTGTCTTCTGTCACGTTATTGGGCTCTTTTCTTTGCTGTAATATATTAGTCAGTCAAAAGATATCACAGATTTTAGTCAAGTAATACCAAAAGCTAACAATTCCTCTCCTACTGTCCCCAAAAGGAGTGACTGGCAGACAACCAGTGAAGCAAGTTTATCTTCTGTCCTTTACTCTTACTTAACATTAAAAACTATACCAACATCTCTGCTTTCCCTCCAAACACCAGTATTACTGTTGCTTTTCTCTTAGCAAAAGTGGAAGGAAAGAAGAAAATATATTTTCTATTTATTTTGAAGGTATTCACTATGTTCGTCCTTTACTGAAGGACCCTGGTGAGATTTTTGAGGATTTGAATCAACAAAATCTCTAACACTTATCAATTGACAGGATTCTTGTTCCACCTTTTTAAGGAACAAGCTGACTGAGATGACTGCAGGTAATAAGGCCAGCAACATCTGCTTAAGAGGAAAGACTGCCCAGTTCCATGCCAAGTCAGCTCCTTCGGGAATGAATTCTAGCAGAACAGTAGAGAGCTAAAGAATTCTACTGTAAAGGACAACAGGGAAAGAAAAGCAGATTTGGGAAGATGAGCTCTAGAAATAGGAATGGGGAAAATGCAAACTGATATTATTGGAATCACTTAGCAAGGGCATGAAATTATAACACTTAATGTATTGACCCAAGACTTGTGGAAGGTTCATTGTTCTCATGCTAATAGGATGCATGAGAATGTGCCACTTGGAGCTACCTCTTAAATGGCCCTGGAACTGGTAATAACTGCACAAACTTGTATCGGAAGCAATTTAGTAATTTTTATATTATAATGCTCCATATAATATAGGAGCATTATATTATATATTTTTATATAATAATATATTATAATTATATAATGCTCCATATAATATAGGAGCATTTTGCAACTAGGCAAAAACTCTCCAGGCCTCTTCACTTATCTGAAAATCCAACTCTCTTCCTCCATCTTATGACAGTGGCTTTTATCTTCTCAGATATTTACATATCAATTACATTGCATAATTAATTGTGACACGTTGTACGTCCTTCAATAAATGTTCCACTGTAGCTACTCAATTGATTTTTTTATTTAGGGTTTGCTCAGCATGCAACATTTCATAGACCATAACTCCACATGGGATTGTCATGGACTATACAAAACCTTTTTATGTAGAATACTGGCATGTTTTTCAACACCCCTGCCAAAAGCAAAACCTAACAAGTCAATTTATGAATGTGGGTGTGACTGTATCATTTGTACACCACTTTGGATATATATACACACGATACAGAGCTAAGATTTTGAAACTCTGGTTTTAGGCCAGAAATCAAACATTTTACAAATCTTCATCAATATTTACACATCAAGGGAAAAAAAACCAAAAAGCAAACAGAAAGAACTGCAGTTAATCTCCCTACTCTCGTTCCATCTCGTTGATTTGCACACGAGTTTCCCTTAGTTTGTCCTCCAGGTCTTGAAGTTCACATTTTGGTTTGCAGGCCAAATCTCTCAGCTGTAGCTCTCCAGTTGAATCCTACCAGGAAATGAAGTCACACTGTTTGAATGTTCTACGTTATAGATTCCCTCAGAAAAGTACTAGAGCATTACGGGCAGATGTATTTCTAAATATTTCAGCAACAACCATTTCTAAAGAAACTGAGAACACAAGCTATTGCATTCTCTCTGAGACATAAGCAATACCTTTCAGGCACACCAAAGAAAGACTCAATTATATAAAATAAAATATTCACTTATTTTATACCTCATGGCAGGAATTATGGAAGGTCAGCATATGCAGATTTACTGCCCGAATCATCAGAACAAAGCATTTTGCAGATGTGTTGCACAGTTGGTTTTTTTTCAGTTAGTCACCTTCTGATTGACTAAATCACCAACTCAAGTAAACTTTTTGGGGATTCATGTGTACAAAACAACAGAAAAAGTTATCAGAACACAGAAGGCAAGTATTATCTTTTCAGAAAGCACTCTGCTATACATGCAGCTGCCTTTACTGGAATTAAATAAGTAACTGTGCAACACGCTTTTCTTTAAATTTTGAATGCCACATGCAATTACAAATCTGTAACTGGTATGCCTGGTGTAGTGTCATTTAATAACTTTGTTATTTTATATTTTGTGGGGGTTTTGGCAGACCACCACTCCTGCTTTATACTAGACTCTGACTCTTAAGGGATATCACTTTTTATTTGTCCTGTTTTAATTTTTTTAATAATTTTTTAAATAAATTTAATAACTTTAAGTAAGAAAGCCTCCGCAGGTATAAATCCACATAGTTCTAGTCCCTTAAAATAAGTTTCTTACACACCTGAGTAGGCTTGTCACTTCCTGAACCAGCACAGCATATGCTTGGCAGGAGACGGTTTTTTAGTTTTGCTGCACATTCTTCTAAGAAAACACATACTTTAAGAAATGGTGAGAACACTTACAGAAAAACCCAGACTTTGAAAAAATGCTACATGTGAAATGTGTTAGTAATTAGACAAGGCACCAATCTACCTCCTTGAGATGTTTCATTTAGAATTGAGAAGAGCTGATTTTGAATTGCACTGTTCAGTTTTAAAAATTCACAGCATCTGCTCAGATTTTCATCAGCAGAATTCATCTGTAAATTAATGTGCATTATTACATCTGCATGGGCTTTCTTACTTAAAGTTATTCCTGTTACAATCATGGCATTTTCCCCCCACCAATAATTACATCTTCCCAACCTTTTCTTACTGGATCCATTAGAATACTCACTGTTGAATACTCATTTCTAATACTCAAATGAGCAATACATAAGGACTTCTATGACCCAGTTCATTCACTATTTGAGAAAACGTACTCCTTTTCCATCATAAAGAGGATGCAACCACAAGTTGAAGTTGAGTTAAAATCTTTCAACAGTTATTAAAATAATAATCTAGCAGATTTTTGGATTTAAAAAGTAGTCCAAAATCTGGTTTCCCATAAGAAATAATACATATAAGGCTCTTATATTGTTTTGTCAGCAGTCTGAAGCCTCCATGAAGCCTCCATCCAATTTTACCTGATTTTTAAGTTAGAAACTGAAACATATACTACTGAAAGAGCAAAATACAGCATTATACGTAGGAAACAGCAAAACTACATCACTTTCAGCAAATGGAATTTTGAAAAGGAGTTGATGGGGTTATTCTGTCCAGGATACTACTGCACCTGCCAGAAAAATACATCCTTTGTACCTGTTTCCCTTATCTTTACCTGTAACCTGTGTTATCACTGTCCACATAGATCACCCTCTAGGTCTTCAGTTTTTAATGACTCCATATAGTTTTTACAAGCTTCCAAAACAGCTGAAATTCCCACCCATACCTCCATCAGCTTGTGTTTTGATTGCTGCAACATGCTTTCCTCAGACCTTGGGGAGCACAGTAAACCTGCTCACTTCCACAAGAGCACAGCTGCAAAGTGTGGTTTTCCAGCTCATTACAGCAACATAACATGGTATTTCCATCTGGTAGCTCCTCTTTTTCTACAACAGCAGCCTGAAATTGTTCATCTTCCCAAGACCTGAAAGACTATTCCCAACCAACTCATGATGGAGAGGTCAGCTCCCACTGCTGCTCAGCCCTCCTAAGGTTTACCTCCAACAACCATTTGCAAGATTTTTAAATGCACGGCGCTGTTCCTTCTCTGGCTTCCTCTGTGGTAGCTTTACCAGCAACTCCCAAACTCGTTAAAACTGTCCATTGCCGTGAATCTTGCAGAGAGTTACACTGGCTATGTAACTGTAACTCATATTCAACCATGAAGTAAAAGAAAAAAAACTGATTTCCCTTGAAAACACTGCATCTCTTTTCTCACCAACCACAGCGCACAGTAAGTGGTTACAGACTCACGACCAACTATCTGCATCCTAAAGGTACAGAAATCTGGGGATGCAGGAGCGAAAACTGTCAAGATTTTTTTTTTTTCCACAGAGCAAAGTCACAGCTGTGAAGTCTCATCTTTCCCAAATTTTACACCTTCTCTACTGCTTCCACCGTTTCACTTCCTCAGTTTTCTGTTACTCCTTCATGGGTCCCACTACACCCGTCTGCAGCCTTCCCCTCATAACGGAAACTGCCCTCACGCCCGTTCCGAAGCCCTTCGGCGGCCGTGCCGCCTGGCAGCAGCCTTTCACTCGAACAGGTTTCCCACCCCGAAGAGCTGGGATGCTGGATAACCTGTTCTGGCTTTCCAGCCTTCCTCCTCACCTTCTCCTGACAGCTCCTGGGCCCCAGCCGATTCCTTCGGAGCACAACCGCACCCGTCCTTTCATCTATCGGTCTTCAACGCTCTCTTCTCTTACAAGCACACCCAGTACCGATCAAACCTCACTTTTAAATTCCAACCCTTGTTTTCAGGGAACCTTGTCACGGACAAACAGCCAAATAACCGAAGTTGTGGGCGCTTAACAGTTATTAAAGCTGCGCTAACTGGAGGCGCGCGCCGGGCAGGGTCCCATACCGGCCTGTGCAACGCCGAGCGGGGGCCGCCGCCGCCTCCGGCCCCGAGGAGCGACAGGACTCACCTCGTAGTTCTGCTGGCAGCTCTCCAGCCTCTCGTGCAGCTCCCGGGCACTTCCCCCGCCCACCAGACACTTTAAGTCCTCGGCCATGGCTAGATGTCAGTTCGTTCCGCTGTCCCTCGGGGATGCTCTTCGGGCGGCGCAGGTGTAACGGAGGTGGTAATGCCAACCCGGTCGCTTTCCCTGGGCTGGGCCGCGTCCGAGGGTCTCTAAAGCCGCGGTGGTGTCGGAGCGGCTGGCGCGGCGTTGGCGGTGCCACGGTAATTTGGGGGGGCGGCGCCGGACAGCGCGCGGCGAGCGAACGTCCCGCGGCCGCCCGGTGGCACCGGTGGGCGCGAGCCGCAGCCGCCCGGCCCGCGAGCGGCCGCAGGGGGCGCGCGCGGCCCCTGCGCAGCGGCGGCAGCGGGAAAAGATGGCGGCGGCCGCTCCCGAGCAGGTCCGTTCGCAACGGGACGCGGGCACGGGGAGGCAGCGGCGCCGTCCTCGCCGGGGCCAGGGGGGAGCGGGACCGCGGGGAGCAGGCGGTCCGGCCGGGGGTGCTGCAAGCGGAAGGGACGCTCGGCCGGGGGCGCCATTTTCGCGGCGGTGGGCGAGGCTGGTGTGCTGCCGAAGCGCTCCGGCTGGGGAGGGGAGAAACGGCGGTCGTGCGGCGCTTCCCGCCTTGTGCCCGGCAGTGTCCGAGCAGGACGGGCTCGGCCGTGCCGGGGAGAGGCGGCCCGAGCCTGCTGTCCGGGCGGGGCTGCCTGCAGCGGCGCCGTGCTGCCCGCGGGCGTGGGGGTGTGAGTGACAGAAATACTTGGCGCCCTGGGAGCGAGGCGCCTGGCATTTGTGCGCTGCGGGAACGCCGCCGCCGCGCCTGGCGAGGCGCTTGGCGCTGACCGGGGGCCGAGAGGCAGCCGCGGGTGCCTGCGGGGCCCCGCAGCTTGTGTGAGCTCTGCAGGGCCACACTGCGTCCAGAACATCTCCGAGGGAGCGAAGCCTCCACAAACTCGTCCGGGTCAAGCACCTTTCTCAACACCATCTCTTAATAGTTCAGCAGCGGAAGAAAACACGGTGTTGTGACTCGTTACATCAGTGTAGATATGTGCGAGTGCAGTTACTTCAGGTGTAGCTTTAGGATTCATTTAAGGTGAACAAACTTAATTCCATTCAAAAGATCAAGTTCCTTTGAAAATGTGAATCACTAAATAATAAACTGTTCCGTTCAAGGGAAGTAGAACAAAATTTTGGACAGCTACGAAAATACTTTAAACGTTAATTTCACTATGAGTATATACAAGAGTTTCCTCTGTTAATTTGTTACATTGGCAGGATATCCCTTACAATTTCATAATTTCGGAATATTACCCAAAAGCTACGCTGACCGAGTTACCTATGCCAGGTTTGAAGCCTCACAGTATCTTTCTCAATGCTGCATGCAAGCAACAAGAGTTGAATGCAAACCCTGTGCTGTCAAACTAAGTTAAAAACCGTATCCACCACACTCTTTTTGAATAGTCACTGAGAGTCCATCACATATGAGCATGGAGGGAACTAAAATCGTGTGTATTGGCAGATGACCTACAGGATTATGTCCTGTATCATCCCTGAGAGGTAAAAACTTGATGAATTTCTTGGTAGCTGGTTTTAGTTTTTTAACTGTAACAATGTAATTAATAATTCATATCTGCCATGATTAAAATTATGTATAAAGCCATATATTGTCTGAAACTATCTGGATTTTAAATTTAGTGATTGTCCTAGCAGAGGTTGCTGTGGTTCTAAGTGTATTCTGATAGCTGGGTGGCAGACTTAAATCTAATACTGAACATAATATCTAATATATTCCACTAGTCCATTTACATTTTTTGCATACATATATATGTGCGCCATTGTAGGTAATTTACATGCCTTTTAAAGCTAACCCATGCCTTGTGTTACAGCAAAGCTCTAACGGCCCGGTGAAGAAGTCTATGCGAGAGAAGGCTGTGGAACGCAGGAATGTTAATAAGGAGCACAACAGTAACTTCAAAGCAGGATACATTCCAATTGATGAAGACCGTCTCCATAAGACAGGCTTACGTGGCAGGAAAGGCAACTTGGCCATATGTGTGATTGTTGTTCTTTTTATTTTGGCTGTCATCAACCTGATTGTGAGTATAATAGCTATAGTGTAAGCAGCATTAGGTCATATTTCATTCTGACAGTTCAGTAAAAACAAAGTTTCCAGTACGGCTGAGGACTTAACACATACTGAAGGAGATTCTCATTTTTGTCCATTCTTTTTAGTTCTTTTGTAGTCTGAGCAAGGTTAAGAAGAATTATGTAAGCTCAGGCACGATTATTTTGGTTATCATGGTCACCCCATGAGAAGTGTTATTCGTACATAGGCATTCAGGATATATGGGCATATAAAACATGGTTATATTTTAATATTTTACTTTACAGAGCTGTATGTGAACATTCAGAATTAACCAGCCACTGCAATTTAAAGCTTCATTGTTCTAATAACCACATTTTTATTGCTTGGTCAATGAGAAATAATAAATTATTTTTCATAATTGCACATCCATCTGTGAGGATGCATTCTTGCAGTTCAACGTTAAGTATATACCAAGCTGAACTGTTCAGGAAATTTGTTTAAATAATTAGTACCCTTAAATAGAAAAAAGATATAACTATGGATGTGATTTAATATTTCATATATATATAAGTGATTTAAAGCTGACTTAAACACTGGCATTAATAATTGTTCAAATAAAATATCTAATTTATAAAATAATTGTGGTAGAAAGATCCAAACAATCAACATAATCCTTGAAAATGTGTTTCTCTTTCAGATTACCCTGGTTATCTGGGCTGTGATAAGAATTGGTCCCAATGGTTGTGACAGCATGGAATTCCATGAGAGTGGCTTGCTGCGGTTTAAGCAGGTGTCTGACATGGGTGTTATACATCCCTTATATAAAAGCACTGTAGGAGGGAGACGAAATGAAGACTTGGTGATCACTGGGAATAATCAGCCTGTAAGTTATACCATGAATTGAAAGATTGTGAGCGACACTTCAGAATTACACTCACATTGCTAATGAATGTTACATTTGAAACATCATTAAGTTCATGTCTTTGTTTCTGAAGATTGTATTTCAGCAAGGAACAACCAAGCTTAGCGTAGAAAAAGACAAAACTTCTATTACCAGCGATATTGGCATGGAATTTGTTGACCCACGAACACAAAATACTTTGTTCAGCACCGACTATGAAACTCATGAGTTTCATCTGCCAAATGGAGTTAAAATCTTGAATGTACAAAAGGCCTCTACAGAGAGGGTATGTTTCTTATTTTTTGTAAGTAATAAGTATACAGCCCATTGTTTGTTTGTGTAACAGTAGAGTAGGGTTAGTGGTTTTATAGAGGATTGAGTGTGCCTTTGGAAGCAGTGAGCAATCCTGTTGCTTAAAAAACACAACTATAAATACATAGGAGGAACAGATTAAGTGAAAACAGAGGGGTAAATTTACATAATCTGTCTTAACAGGAAGCCTGTATTTGGTACCAGTGTTAGCTGTGTATCCCATTTTCATATGAATTGTTATCTTTATACAAAAAATTAATTTTACATACCTTCCAAAATTCAGTAATCCTGTTTTGAAATTGAACATGGAAAATAACAAATATGCAGAAGCTGCAGAAGTAGAAGGAGGGAAAAAAGTACTTTCAAGTTTTTTATTCAATTGCTCAGCATTACTTTTAAGGTAATTAAAGTTACTAAAACAAACACTAGTGGCATATTTTTACTAATCTGTAATAGAGTTTTTTTGGTTGTGTTCTTAGATTACCAGCAATGCAACCAGTGATCTGAACATAAAGGTTGATGGTCGTGCCATTGTCCGGGGAAATGAAGGTGTTTTCATCACAGGGAAGACAATTGAGTTTCGAATGGGTGGAAACATGGAACTTAAAGCAGTAAGTATTTGAAATTAATGGAATTTTTTTTAACAGTTTAGTTTCAAATTTAGGCTGATAGTAAACTGATGTAGCTTTATGTAGTTTCAATTTTATATAAATTACTCATGCAGTATATTTAGTTTATTATTTATTACTTTTTATTTATTTATTTAGTTTATATTTATTACTTCACTGTTAAGTAGTGTTTGAGTAGCTTCAGGTAACATTGATTTACTACTGTTAAGATACAAAAAACCTACTATGCAGTTAAAGCTAAGCTATTGGCCTCTATTGACATGAATACGAAAAGGAGTTTATCTCCTCTGGAAGCTTAACTGGGATTGACAACATTTGCCAGAAGAGCAGAGCATATAGTTTGGAGTATTACCTTCTGTGGTGCTGCTGTAAGACTCACTAGCATTCCTTTAACATTTTTGGAGATTAAGATGGCAGTATATATGGAATGATGGAAAAGAAGGATAAAAATAGAGGTATATGCACTTTCAAGTGTGAATGAATTTCATGTATGAATTCAATTTCAGTTTCATGTTCATGTTTTACATTTACTGCAATTGCTAGTAAGAATGTAAAGGTTGAAAAGTCACCCTACTGCTGTCTTTCTCCGTATCAATCCACCACTGGAATAGCAAAGTACATCGCTGACTAGAAATCTATAGGCATGGCTATAATTTTCATTAAAAAATTAAACATTTGTATACATACCTTTTTTATTATTATTGATTCTACAGCCATCCGAGAAATGTTATTTATCCATTAAACCAGCTCATCCTTCTCAAAAACATTTACATTAGAGGTTGTAGTTCTACAACTTCTTTTTGTTTTTCTCTCCTTAATAGGAAAACAGCATCATCCTGAATGGAACAGTGATGGTCAGCCCGTCACGACTGCCGAGTTCTTCTTACGGGGAGCAGTTCAATAACGGCAACTGGCTGCGCTTCAAGCTGTGCATGTGTGCGGACGGGACGCTGTTCAAGCTCCAGGTGACCGGGCATAACATGGGCTGTCAGACCCCCGTCAACCCGTGCGGAGCCACGCACTAACACAAACTGCTGCAGGGACGGCTCTCCTTTGTGTTTACATCGATTTGTATGAAGTAACTGCATGCCTTCCAGGGTTTCTTTTTTCACAGCAGTTTATACTAACATTTCTTACATTGGATTTTTAAGGAAAGGCTGTTACAGTCAGCAGTATTAGGTCATCATGCTTCTAGCTGCAGTAGTGGCACTGAATCTGTAAGCTTTCAGTGTAAGTGCATACTGAAGTATCTTCTTGAATTGGGATCAGTAGAATATATGTAAAGAACATGATCTTGGCAACAGCTCTACTGCCTACAGTTGTCTCTAGAGGAGGTTTTTGTTCTACATCCCAAGACCTTGAAGACTGCTGAGAACACAACTGCAGTCTGAAGTACATCAACAAGAATGTCAACTTTTTGATGGAAATAGATTTTCCTAGGATGGCTGAAGTGGCAGACTTTTCTCTTCTTTCTTGTGATACATTGATTTACCCCAAGTTTAGGTGGTTTACCAGATGTGTACTAATAGGGGTAATGGCAGATTCGCTTTAAAATATCGCATTATTTCTGCCATGTATTCATTCTCACATTGTTAAAAAATTATGTATCGTAAATAATATTTGCAAAGTAATACTGAGTATGGAAACATAACTTGAATTTTGAAGTAGTCTTGTGGTTATTGAAGTGTTGCTTGAACTTCCATTCTAACTGTGCAGTTAATCCATTCTGCAGTTGCTTTATTTATGTGAAGTACTTATAAGACGTGTTTATATTAGAAGTACATTTTTAAAGATGTACTTACGACTTGCTTACTACCCAAAAATATTGTTTTCCTGGGTGTTCTAATATGAACAGCATCTGAGTCCATTACTCAGTTGGTAATAATCTAAGCATAACTGTTGCAGCAGTGTCTGAGGTCAGATCTCTCCTCCTCATAAATGCCAGTACTGATGCATTACTGAGAACAGTGAATTGAATTCTGAAGTTAAACTGCAGGTCTGTAATAATAAATGTGGTGGTAGGACATCAGGGTAAATCTATGTGTATCAGAATTTGTCAGCCGTGAACCTATGGTGAACTGGGGCCTATTACAGCCTTCCAACTGCTTTTGCAGCAGTGAGGTGTTTTGTGCTAAAAATAGACCCACTATTTATAAGAGTCCTTCTTTCCTCACCCCATGTATTTCTTCAGTTTAAAATAGCTTTGTTTTGCAGTAACATCAAGTAACCTTAATGTTGGAGGTCTCAAAGTGACTTTGTAACAGCTTTTTGACAAGTTTTTTGATAAGCACACACTTCTTTACCTAAAAACTGTGCGAGTTTTACACATTAATTTCAAAGTTGAAGTTTATGTGTAAAGTTTATCTTCCTTTTAAGTTTAATATCTTCCTTATTATCTTCCTTTTTTTTTTTACAGGAAGATAAACTATCTACCCTTGTTTTACAATGCTCAAAGTACATAGGATTCCATAAAACTTCTGCTGTAAAAAGAAATTCATATCTAAGGTCCTAATTTCTGAATTTACTGGCAGGCAGTAAGCATTCATGCAGAATGTGTATTGGTGGAAGTGATTTTTGGAGGGGTAGTCATCAGTCAGGCATTACAGCACATGGGGGAAGTCAGAGGAGTCGTATTTCCCTCACTGCTCAAAGGCAAACGCAGATTTTGATGCTCATTCAGTTGTTGCAGTTTTGGGGCTGGACAGCAGTGGAGCTGTTCTGACAAAATCAGAATAAGTAGAATATGATGTAGCAAAAAACACTGAGTTCTCACATTAAAGATTATGGGGAAGTAGTAACATTTTGCATACTGCCTTCATGGACTTCATAGTTGCATCAGAGTTAAGAGTTACTAAACACTTAACACACATTTTGCTGCTTTACACCCATCCTCGCTGCTAAGCAGTGCCTCATTTAGTGTCTGTTACAGTTAAGAGGAGGAAATGAACTAATGTTTTTAGAATTTTCACTCTCATACTAATGGAAGTTTGTCACTTTATTTTTATGTATACAAATGCAAACACATATTAAAAATATAAAGAGCAGTATCCTCAAAGCTGAAGTACATTTGAAAATGACAGATACTGCCTTGGTCAAGTAGGTTAAACACATATTAAAGATTTTCTCTGATTAATATTGACATGCCTATATGCTAGTATTGGATTCTTGTAATTGTCAAGAGTTCTTTTTAAAATACTGTGTGCAATGTACAGCTGAAAGATCTGTCACAAAGGTACTCTTAAATCATGATCTGCAGAATTGTTTTTGAAGTGTGGATTTTTTGTCAAAATGTAGCAAATCCAATTATAAAAATACCAAATGAAATAAATTATCAAATTTGCTAGCCACTATGTATTGTTAGTATATTTTATATTTATATTACACAGTTTGAGAAATGTTGGCACCACCAATACCTTCTGTTGAGCATTTACTTGTTTATCTTTTAACTGCCTAAGGTACATTTTTCTGTATGTATTTAAAACATTAAGTGGAACACTGTTTATTTCAGTCACACAGATGCACTTACGATTCTGTGTGTATAAAGTGTATTATTCTATATGCCTTTCTAAAATGCCATACTGGGTATGCTGAAACAACTTGCATGTGAAGAGCTCTCACTATCTGTAAGTGTGGAGGGTGTTCCAGTGAGTGAAAGGCAGTAGAATTTCAAATGCTTGTTTTGAAATAAAATAAATTCTAATATGCAGCTGCAGTTCAGAAGTGTTATTTGTAAGAATATAGTTGTTCATTAAAAATACATTGTTGTGTTATTGATATGACAACTGGAAGTATAAAAATTGTTCCACACCTGTTTGTCATAGATTGTTTGTGGTGGACTTTGCTCAGTGTAATAGTGTGTGATACCTGAAGCAGAGTTCAAAAGTCTCCACTGTTGTTAGATCTCAAGCTCCCAAGAAGTGTTTCTCGACCAAAAGGCTGGAAAAGAAAAAAAAAAAGGTTCTAATTGTTTTTTGGGATAGATGGTGGGAGGAGGGAGGTTACCAGTTTATGAATGCTCTTTTTGAAAATAAGACTCCAAAACTGAATGTTTAAGTAGAATGTTGGTAATGCCATGATTATTCGGTGTTGATTTTTTTTTAATGTCAAACTGTTTTTGCTTTCTATTCATGTTGTGCTGAATGTAACCATAATTCTAATTTTACACATAGATACTATGGATAACTATCACTTGCATGTCGTAGCTGTGGTCCTTTATTTTAATCTTCCTGGATCGGTGGGAACCAAGTCACAGCAGATTCTTCCTGCTACACATCACCATTCAGAGTGCCGGTGGGATGGGCAGTTCTTACTGAATTGCTCTTTTACCAGAATATCTACTATTCCAGAAGATTTATCACAAATAGCAGTAACAGCTGATTTGAGTTACAATAATATTAAAACTTTTGTGTGCTCTGATGGAAGAAATGAAGAGTGGATGCTAAAACACCTGAACCTCAGTAACAACCTGATTTCTGAACTCACTTTAACTACTTGTACAAATTTATCCAATTTAGAAACTCTAAACCTCAGTGGTAATGCCATCCACACCCTCACACTGGAAATGCTTATACCTGCACAGGGGTCTAAAAAGTACAGCATTGTTGATCGTCTCCTGCCTGCTTTGAAAGTATTGTCAGTTGAAAGAAATAATCTTAATACAGTTCCAAGAGGTAAGCATTTAAAAAATCTTCTAAGAACTTGACTCCCATGGGGTAGGTTGGTTTTGGGTATAATTCATACATCTTACTGAATCCAGAATGTGACTTTCTAGTTTTATTATCCTTAAGGCGAGGGAAAGTTCCACCAGCAAATACAGAGACGGAAGTAAATCGGTTGCTTGTTTACTTTGTTAGGTTTTTTAATACAGTCTTAGCAACTGTACTGTGTTAATAGCAGTCAAATATAACCAGATTTATCGTTTTAAGAGCCCAAGCAGTATTCTTAATTGTTGTATAGAAAGGGGGAATAAGGATCTTTGGAAAACTACCAGCCTCCACATCCCAGTTGTGGACCTTAAGGTCAAAAAAAAATTACAGATCATTAATTTCATACTACCCTTCAGAAGGAAGTCAACAATTTTAAATAAAATTTGCAGCAGTTTCAGTATTTCAGAGACAGGAAAATATATTTTGTTAATTTCAAACAATTTTGCTCTGTGCCATTTAATACATAATCACAGTGACAGCTTGGTGTAACAGGAGAGGGCTGTAAGGTTTCGAGAGACTTTGAGAAAGGCTTTGCTGGTCACTGAACTATGCTGGGCAGCTTAGCCTTTATCCAGGGATGATTCACAGTGGCCAAACGGTTTAAATGAAGCAGAAGCTACCAGATAAGCAACCCTGTCCTATACAATATGTTGAATTTATTGATGTCTGCTAACATAATCAGATTCATTAATTTGAAAATACAGGAAGACAAGTGATGACAAACAAAAAAACCACTTATCCCATAAAGTCACACAAAGATAATATATTTTCCCCTACACAGGATCATTCAGTTTTTCTCCTTTTATGCTATTAAATAATTCTCTGGCATTTCATTTTACGATTTTGTGGTGTTTGTATAGACAAGGTATCTGAATAGAAGTATAGAAAAGCTCACATTTTAAAATCTATCTATTAAGATTTGTTTTGATAAATATGGCTGCCCATTATAGGATGCCTCAGAGGATCAGACAGATCAATCCTCTTTTATAAGAGACTAAGTTTTTTAAGTTCAAATTGCTGTGCATGGTACCACCATTTTTCAAGTTACACTTAATTCCTATATTCATCTAAATACATGTTCAGAACCTTATTCTTCTCCAAAATACTTCACTACAATTCTGAGGTTTAAGCTCTGGAAAGAAAACACAAACTGCAGTTCTATATCGGAGGTTTCCCAGGGAAAGGAGGAAGAGAAATCCTTCCCCCATCTCCCCCCACCCCCCCTCCAAGTAAGGCTGCTGCCCACTGCTGCCACTGCCATACCATTGTATATTTTTGGCACAAATTTAAATTCAGGGAAGTAGCCACAGTAAAATTCCTCATGCAGGTACACTGATGAATTTATGAACTGCCAGAACTTCCGTATGCTTTTCCTATCACCTACCTTTAAGTTTCATACCAGGGATGAATCATTCCCTCTGCTTTTCACAATAACCCAAAGATCAATTACTCAGTAAACAGAACTGCTGTCTGAGAAAAGAGGTTTCTGGTAAATAGGGTGACACCAAGGGCAAAATTTTTAAGAACTAGTAGCTTGTCAACAATTCTGTATGATCAAAAATCACTTTAGAGTGACATTGTGGTGTTGAACACTCAGCATCAGTTGGCATGCTGAGTGCCTGCTTTTCCACTGGACCTTGCAGACTGGAGCTTCAGGGGCTGCCTTCACAGCACCTCAAAACAATTAGGTGTCTCCAGCAAACAAAACTGTTCTTTGTGCAAGATGTTATTGTAACTAGGATACACTGAAGGATATACTATCATGCTTCATAATTCACAGGCAGATAGGCATAAGCAACAACATGGTTTTGTTTTCATTTGGTTTTATATCCTATTAATACAGTTCAAGTAATTCCACATATGAAAATCTCCCATGTTACTGCCCATGCAAAAGAATAGCAGATACTGTATCACCTTTGACATCTCTATCTTTTCCTTGCAAATAACATATTTGGACCTTGTCAGCTCAATATATTTCACCCTTTTCACATTCCTTTCCTACCTCCAGTTCACCAGAAAAGTTTGCTCAAAGTACAGAGATCAAAGTCAGAATAATTTTGATAGTACAAAGAAATGCTAGTGCTTTTATGAAAGTGTCAATTTTTAAGACATTCATTGACTGTGAAGATTTTAATGTGCCACCTGTTGATGCTATGCAGCTTTTAGAATGGGACAACCCCTTACTAGGAAAGGCATAGCATAAAGGATGCAGCCACTCATTGCAATAGTGAGGAATGGAAGGAATTTTGTTGCAAAGAATTTTATAAGGACACTTGATGCAATTGAGAAAACAAGAATATGAAATGTAAAATAGGGTTTTTTCTTCCTAGGGCTAGGCCTCCTGCAGTCTTTACAAACTCTCCATATGTCATCCAATGCCATACAACAGATTGACCCAAAGGATTTTCAAAACTGTTTACAGCTGAAGGACATTGACTTGCGAAACAACAAGATAACTAAAATTCATCCAGATGCCTTCAGAGATCTCAACAAATTACAGGTTGTAAAGCAATACAGTTGTTTCAATATTTTATGGTAATCATTAAAGATATTATTTACCAACTATTCAGCATGATTACATGGTTCTGATTATAAAACTAGTGTAGAATTTAAAAACTAGAGAAAATGGTGACATCAATATTTTATCTATTTACTTTTTATATGTAGGAAAACACACATGCTGAAATATAATAGATATAACCATGAATTCACCTTTTCTCTATGCCACAAACCAATCCATAACAATACACATCCCTTTCTACCCCCATCCCTTCCATGGCAAGAGCTCTGCAACTCCCTATTCAAACAGAGGTAAGTCTACAATGGGAGAATTCTAAACACCAAAATGTAAACTTTTCATCTACATTGAAAAGCTTAGAACATTATTGAAACCCTAAACACATGTACTGTTCACAAAACTACAGAAGTGCTTGTACACTAAAACACTGTTGTAAGATGTTGCAATAAGAATTCCATTGTAAGCCTCATCAAATTAATTCTGTATTATTTCCAAATAGGTCATGGATCTCCGTGAAAATGCTCTGACAATCCCACTACCACAGATACTAGTCAGTTTGAACTTTTTTCAACTTGAAGTGTATTTGTCAAAGAATGCCTGGATATTTAACTGCAGGCTAAATGCTTTTAAGCATTTCTTTCATTTTGTCTTTGACTCCACAAGGCAGAAATGGAGCCTTTCATATAACAAGTCTGCCAACAACTCCCAGAAACCTCTGCTGTATCTTTCAAGTTTCCACTTAAACTGCAGGGACAATGTTTTCTTTAAAAGGGCCACAGTCCCAAAAGGGAACACATCAGTGCTGACCTGTAACTTGGACAACATAAGGGGTATGTAAATCAGCCACTCCATTCAAATGCTACTAGAATCCAAATGAATGCAGAATGATCAAATAAATCTGTTTTTAAAAGTGGTTTCTAAAGACACTGTTTAAAAATAACTGAATAACAATTTAACATGCAAAAATATTTCATGAGAAAGTAGTATTCTGCTTAGAATATTTGAAAGTTAGGTTTCCTGAGTCTTCATCTCCTTCCTTACATTAAAGGAGAAAGTGATGCTAATTCCATACAAATAAGATTCAGTAAGTAATGCATTACAAATGTATTGGTTCATTTTGGACTGAAGCAAAGGACCAAATACTAGGGTGGCACTTCTGAGGCATGTAGAAAACCAAGAAGGATGCAATAGTTTTCAGTATTCAGTTACAGCAAAAGAAATTGAAGGTTTATTTGCAGGGGAAAAGATTTCTAATTATTTTAAAGAAGCACAGCCACTGTAGCATATACTTCACTTACATTTAAAATTAATAGATAACATTGAGGTTATAAGCAACAAAACCTAGAGAGCCAAGACTTACCATGCAGATGGAAAACTAAGACAAACTCAGATCAGAAGGTGTATTTGTAATGCACCATAAGGCAAAATGGTTTAAATCTAATGGACTAATAGCACTTGGAGGCAGCAAGGCTTTCCCCTGGG